GCTTCTGCAAAAGTTAAAAACATGTGAGAGGAACACTGGACCTGGTGCACTCTCTTATTTGCCCTCCACCTGCTTTCATTTCCTGCCTCAGTTTCTCAAAATTGTTAGCATCTCTGTCCATTGCACACCCAGATCCAGGGGAGCCTATTTTTTTCTGCTCTCACTCAAAACCACCCTGGGTTCTGGCATCTGAGCCCTGGCCCCAGCTGCCTTAGGCATGGCAGGGAGGTGAACTCAGCCCCTGCACTAGCCCATAAAGTCAGAATCCATCGTGTGGCTGGTGATTCTGGTGATCAGATTCTCTTCCACAAGGTTGTGTATGATTGTTGCTCATGGGGGGTGAGGAAGGGAGTTCTTGTGCTTAGTAATTTTTCAGAATCTAGTCTGTACAATATATATCATTTGCTATATTTTACATGGAGGTCTCTGACCAGCTAGATCAGTTGCCAGTGATTAATGGAACAGCTAGTTTCCTAAATGTCCTGAACAAATAAGTCTCCCAGCCTTTGCCAATGGGCTGTATGTCCGTGTTGGGGCATGCGCTCCACGCTGTAGCAGTTTACGACTCTGCTTCAGTAGAGTCATACCTGGGCTGGTAGAAAGCTTCAAGGTCAATCAAACGCTGGGGTCCTCTGAGGTCTTTCTTGGGCGTGCATCAAGCCCAGCACAGTTAAGTCCAATCACGTGGCCTTCTAGACCCAAGACAAGGCAGAAATGTTCAGAGCCCTACAGGAAGCCTCATTACCCAGCTTTCCCTATTATTGTTTTGGTCCAATTGTTGTTTGTTATCCCAGCCTCAGGCATCTGTAATTTCAGACAATTGCCACCGATGGTTTGAGACAAACCCCCAGACAGGCTGTTAGCAGGGAACAAGCTTTGCATCAAGTCAAATGAGAGTTCTGAGACCGGGGAGCTTTGGGGAAGCTATCAGGCATATCAAATTATGATAATTCTCTAGGAATGAGGCTTTGGGGGAAATTCAACTCCATTCTACTCACCCCAGTGTCTGCTGTAGTTCGGTTATCCCAGTTGGGGCTTTGCCTGGTCAACACAGAGTCAGTTCAGCCACAGTGAGGGAAGAGAGAGAAGAGTTTATGCTCACATTATGCCAATGCATAAGGAGGAAACAGAGTTCAGCACACCTCCAATGTCTGCTTCAAAAGTGTCTATGTGACTACAGGGTTTAGATATTTTTTGTAAAAGCTTATAGTCGTTTCTATATATCTAATTTTCCAGACAGGGCTATTTGGATCCTGAGAAAGAAAATAAGAAAATGTGTGGGACCCTAGCAATGCATTTTATCTACTTTGAGTGTCTTCAGCAGCTGCAAATTTTACCTTGAGAAAAATAAGGCTTAAGAGATGAAATTAATAATAATTTATCAGGGGTCCATGAGGGCGAGAAGGGTGGGGAGGGAGGGAAAAAAGAGGGCTCACGTAGGGCTCAAGCAGAAAGAAAGTGTTTTTAAAATAATGATGGCAACATATGTACAAATGTATTTGATACAATGGATGCATGGATTGTTATAAGAGCTGTTAGAGCCTCCAATAAAATGATTTGTTATTTAAGAAAGAAATAAAAAGGAGAAGGCTTCAGCTACACGCAAGCCTTATTTCTGCCTCACTGCCGACTTCTTTGAAATGTCACATTTTAGAATCTTGCATTCTCAACTCCTGAACCTATGGATTTTATTATTATTATTATTATTTTTTTTTTTATGTCCTGAGCCAGGAGTCCTGATAACACAGTGGGTAAGTACTCAGCTGGTAACCAAAAGGTCAGCAGTTCAACCCCATTCTACTGGACAAAGATGTGGCAGTCTGCTGCCATTTATGATTACGGCCTTGGAAATTCTAATGTGCCAATGCTACCCTGTCCTATATGGTGGCTATGATTCAGTAAAACCAAAGTTATACTACTTTGTATATCTATAGTTAGACACACACCCCCCAAAAAAAATCCTACCTATTAAATGCAGTGGATCTAAGGTATTTACTTTGCTTAATACAGTCCCTATAAAATCTTGTAATTCACTACATTACTCATGTCACTTAGATAACTTCTTCTTTCCCTGACTGTTAGTGATTGAAAGCTAGACCCTGCTTTCTAGTTAGTCGACAAAGGCATCCTGAGACTAGAATGAGGCTAACACTAAAAGGCACCTGTGGCTCCTCTCCAGCCCATACCTAACGGAGCCCAGCCTGAGCAGCCTGGACATGGCTCTGCACAGCAGCAGGACGGATGCTCATGGGGGTCAGACTAGGAGGGGAGTGCCCCAGACCAGTGATGGGAGGAAAGCCACCCAGTCCCTAAGGAACACCGATTGTGGATTTCTGACTCCGGGGTCAGCACTTGACACCCCAGCTGAATTGGTTGGGGGTTCCTCACAAGGGGGTCACACTGAAAGTCTAAGGCATAAATGCGGGGGTGCAGGGAAGGGGGTCACGAGATCGCTCCATCCCGGACTGCGGGAATAGCAATGGGGACCTATGGAAAACTGGCCTTTTCAACATGAATCCTGTGTCAGGATCCCTGTTAGTCTGCTGGCTATCGGTATGTTGTTGTTTTGGTTTGAGGGGGATTTTTTTTATCTTTTATTTTGTTTTGTTTCTTTGGTGTTGATCTATTCAAGAAATG